GGGCTTGGAATACTGCCTGGCGATGGAGAACATGAATATCTCGGCCATCAGGACCATCAGAGTACTTCGGCCGCTCAGGGCAATCAACAGGATACCCAGTGAGTAGTTTCCCGAGTATATTTAGGCGCCAAGGGGAAGAAAAGGCGTGGAGGTTGGTGTAAATGTTGACTGTATTTTTCTGGTTCTTCGAATTAGAATCTTCCGGAAGATGTGTGGGAGTGAAAGGTAGAAGTTTAATGAGGTATAAACATAGGGGTATCAGATGACAATACAGTAACTGGTAGAGATAATACGATGATGACCATGATTGTGATAGCATTATTTAAACCCCAAAAATATGGAAAATAAGCACATTCATATATCAAAGTATTTTAAGTACAGCATCTTAGTCCCTCAAGCATTCCCGGGTTCCTTTCAGCTCAACCTGTTAAACGAAAACCTGTCGATTACTGTCCCCTTCTCTCCTCCAGGTATGAGGATCCTGGTGATGCTCCTGCTAGACACGCTGCCCATGCTGGGGAACGTCCTTCTGCTGTGCTTCTTCGTCTTCTTCATCTTCGGTATCGTGGGCATGCAGTTGTGGGCGGGCATGCTTAGGCAACGTTGCTTCATCGACATTCCCGTGAACGTGACGCCGCAGCAGTAAGTCCCTCTCCCTCGGGTTTTCTTCTTTCTTTCGTTTCTCTTTATATTTCTTTTCTCTTTTCTTCGGGTGATTTTGGGGGCATCGGCAGACTTTCTCTCAGACATTTGGGTATTGCTGGCACTCTTCTATCACCACAGACGCGCTCAGAAGACACTTTCTTCACACGCTGCACACATAGCGGGCGATGGAATTCGTTTCTGCGGATAATACGCACACGAACACAAGTGGGCGGGGCGATGGCTGCAAAAGCCGCCCTCTGGTGTATAGACAACCGGGTTCTTCTTATGCATCCAGATATTAGTGCACATATAAGTATAAAATGAATATCCATAGACTGGACACTACATTGCCACAGAAATTATACACGACAACATGGGTGCAAATCGGGTAAATAAGACAGCAGCAAATCGTTTTTTTGGGTCAAGTCGTCGTGACACTAACGACGTGACCGCCATTCCATTGCTTACGCCAAACCGTCATGTGGCTCACACTGTATCCATCATAGTGGGTTTTACCATTGCATTTTCTTCTAAATCAAAGGTCGATTTGATATTCTGGGTGATAACACGTTCTCCAACCTATTTTAACTGTGATTATTTTTCCAGGACATTTCACTATCATCGGCAGAGAAAGTAGATAATTAGAAAAAAAAAATCACAAATATTCTTTCTTCTTTCTTTCTGAATTTGTGACTTAGGATATTTCTTTGGCATCCAGAACATTTTCTGTTTGAACAAATTAGTTTTTTTTTTTTGACATATATATAATTCATCTCTTTTGATGATCACTTACCTTTAAAAAAATTCATCCATCCTTTTTGTTATTTCTTTCAGAGGAGTTGAACTTATTTATTACAAAGAGATCAAGGCGAAAACGTAAGATAAAAGACAAATCTATATATAAAAAACAAAAAAAAAATCAAAAGTGAGAGTGGAAACCATCGTAGAAAACGGGAGTGCGCTTCCTTGCAGACTTACTTGAAATCCTCCTTTGTGTCGTCATCGTTTTTTTTTTTTCGTCGTCTTTCTTCAAGAAGTCGGTTTTTGATGGGATGGTTCTTTTCTTTTTTTTTCTCCGTCTTCTTTTCTTTTCTTTTTTCAAGCCGTGATCTTGGCTTGTCCTCGGCTGGATGAATGGGCGCTTCCGGAATTGAAGGGAATTTAAAAATATATGTAGTTGATGAATATGCTTTCCGCGGAAAAATATCCATCTATCCACACACACACACACACACACACACACACACACACACACACACACACACACACACACACACACACACACACACACACACACACACACACACACACACACACACACACACACACACGCACACACACACATATGTATATATATATATATATATATATATATATATATATATATATATATATATATATATTACATTTACATTTACATTTACATATATATATGTATATATATATTTATATTTATATTTATATTTATATTCATATGTATGTATATTTATATTTATATGTATATATATATATATATTTATATGTATATAATATAAATATGAATATAATATATATATATATATATATATATATATATATATATATATATATATACATATATATACATATATATACATATATATATATATACATATATATATATATATATATATATATATATATATATATATATATATATATATGTACATATGTATATACATACATATATATATATATATATATATATATATATATATATATATATATATATATATATATATATATCTGTATGTATATACATATGTACATATATATATATATATATATATATATATACGTATATTTATGAATATATATATGTATATACATCATCATCAGCAACAGCACTATCACTATTTTATAACTTTTATCATTGATGCTGATTGTTAGTATTGTTATTTTCATAAATGACAATATCATTATTATTATCATCATTGTTATTATTATAATTATTTTTTTATCATTATTATCATCTTTATTATTATAATCATTATTGGTGTTATTACTGTTGACATCATTGTTATTATCATTATTGTTATTATTCTGTTATTATTATTACTTTATTTTTATTATTATGATTATCAATATTATTACTATTATTGTTACTTTTATTATTATTGTCAATAATATAATTGTTATTTTCATCATCTATTATTATTATCTTATTGATTATTATATTAATAATTTTTATTATTGTATTCTGTTATCATTATGTTTAATAATTATTATTATCATTCATATATTTATCATTACCATCTAATTATTGTCATTGTTATCACTATCGTTATTAGTGTTGTTGTTATAATTATCATTATCATTATTATTGTTATTGTTGTTGTTGTTGCTGTTATTTTTTTTATTGTCATCATCATTATCATTACCATCATCATCATCATCATCATCATCATCATAATCATAATCACCATCACCATCATCATCATCACCATCATCACCATCATTATCATCATCATCATCATCATCATAATCACCATCACCATCATCATCATCATCATCATCATCATATCACCATCATCATCATCATCACCATCATCATCACCATCATCATCATTATCATCATCATCATCATCAATCATCATCATCACCATCACCATCACCATCGTCGTCGTCGTCGTCGTCGTTATAAGTAGCATCGTTATCATTGCCATCAGCATGAATCTAGAGCTGTCTTTGAAATGGCGCTCACAAATACATGCACCGCAATAGGATGTTTTCGGACGGGTTATCCGCGCGGAAAATGATTATGAAAAAAGGATTGCGCCACATATTAATTAACAAGCTGAGTCAGAATAGGCATCAAAGGGCACCTGCTCGATTCAAAAGCGGCGGTCGTTGTAGTAACGTGGCTGCATGACGTGTTTTCGGTCATGTGCGCCTGACCTTTTGTTAATAGCGATTCACTTTGATTTGGGCGTATGTCATATTTAGATTTTTTTGGAAAATTGTTTTTGTTTATCCTATTTGTTGGAAGGTTTACTGAATTTTGGTTTCAAGCAAACCGCTGGAGTATCACTGTACAGGAAGTCCTCTATCATACGTCCTTTTACCGTTAATCCGAAGGTGATGATTCGAATTTCGTGTTTATGTTATTAATTGTGTTTCACATGTATTTTTTTCGTCTTCTTGTTTTTTTTATTTTGGATTTAGCGAACGAGGAAAGTAAGTTTGCTGCCCTGTGAGGTTTCCAGCCGGCTCGACCTCGTGATTGAGCTGGTCGGCGGCTTTAAGCGGAACTCAGATTCCCCAAAGGAACATGTCTTTGATCTGGGCCAGAAAAAAGACCATTCCATCAAAACCAAGACGATAAATAAATAAATAGATAAACACAACGCCAGACGATGATCGATACCCCCCTTTCTAGAACTCCCTCCCTCCTTCCCTTCGTATCAAATCAGTTCCCAAAAATGTTTTAAAAGCGCATGCAAGGAAGCGACCTCCGGCTATTGACCTAAACTCCCCGACATTTCTTGCACGCCCCCACCTCGGCGGCGTAGAGAGTCGTGGCAGTTGAGGAAGATAATATCATGACGATGGTGATGATGATGGCGTTGATTTTTCTGATGCTGACTTCTGCTGATTGCCCGCTCTCGCTCGCCCGTGGAGATGGGCCGCGTCAAGGACATGTCACGCCAGGTCGCTCCCCCTCGGTGAGGGTGCGTGCCCCGGTGGCCGTCGAAGTGCGGCATGTCATGGCAGGGTGTGAGCGTCGAACGGTGCTCCAACTCGTCAGGCCTTGCCCCTCGCCTCGCCTTCACCCTCACCGGACGAGCCCTGGTTCTTCCCTCCTTCATTTGCGCCTTGGCACTTGCTTCATTCTTCTACGCCCAACAGACGGCCAGATATAACGAAAACTTTGGAATCTGCGCCGCAGCTTACCTTGAAATAGTTCAGATACACTGAAGTTGTTGTTCTTATTTGTATTACCAATGGTCTGGTAATGCCGAGGTCAAAATGATCGAGAAAGCTAAATCTGAAATATCCAGATTTCTACGTTGGTTGCCTGTGTTGTGCTGTGGCTCACCCTCCATCTTCTCGTGTGTAGACTAACTTGCCACTAGTCTTGAAATAGCCTCAAGTAACTAGCTCTTCGTCGTCCGTAGCGTGGCAGTTGTGTAACTAACGTTAGCCTCCTCCCATTTGAGAGATGAAAGTAGTTGTGCTACTAACAGGACGATGGAAAGAGTTGCGTTAGGCCTCGTAGGCCCTTGTCCCGAGCCGCCCGCGTTCGTCTGTCTCGTAGTCGCTTCTTGTCTAGATTCTCCAGTGCGCTAGGATGCTATACTTGTCCTGTCAGTAGTAAAGATAAGAAAGTCAGTCCA